CCATTGACATTCAAAGTTATTGCTAACCAAAAAGGAAATTAAAGATAAATACCACTAATCTTCCCAAACTTTATGGATCATTTATATGTCAGAACATTTACTGGCAAAACAAAACTGGTGCAAATATTTCCAAATTATAAATTAAATAGATCATATGAAGTTCTCAAAGTGAACACTAAATTATAAATTTTCCAATATCAGTTCAACATTTCAATGCTGTAGCACTTAAAAGATTTCTATGTAATTTAAGAATGTTATTTAATATAAACTTTCAAAAATTGAAAAGCATAGTGAAATATATTTTTGTGAGGCAGATTATTTTGTGATAGTACATATGACAAGTATAGTTTTTGATGAGAAAAATCACATTGGGAATTTTTTATTATATTTATTGTGAGGTAACATTGGTTAATAAGATTATTAGGCTTTAAGTGTATGTTTCTATGATAGAAGTGTGCCCACCACCCAAAGTCAACTACAATGAAATACCAGTTCACAAACTAATATTGGAATTTAAAAAAATTTTGTTTAAAAAATTCTTACTAAAATAACAAGAAAGTTATAACAGAGAAGTAATTTGGGGAAGATGAAAGAGGCAATTCTGAAACAATCCAGGAAATCATATAAAAAGAGAAATGGGAGTTCATCTAAGACAGCCAGTTTGCTTTTGACCAAAAGCAGATTAACAGCTATACTCAATTAAAAAAAAAAATTTTGTTTTTGGAAGAGTTAACTAGTTCTTTTTATTCTAATAACAATGTACAGATGTTACTGCTCCCTATGGGCACAGTGGCTTCCTTAGAGAATACTGCTACTTGAACCCAGAAAAAACTGAGGTAAGAGAAACCAGAGAGTTTATGAAAGAGACACGACTTTTCACCCCAGTTCATGCAAACTACAGGTGTTACACGCCCTATTTTAGATTTATATTCTGATGCTCTTGAATACCATAAGGTCACTACATCAAATATTTACTAAGTTTCTATTATGTTTCAGGCACAGCATAAGAAAGAAGCTTGTAGCCTTTGGCTCAATATAATATTTTAATGCTTTAACAAATATCCATTGAGTAATTTAGATATGCTTTCTCAAATAGTCACATTTCAAACATATTTGGGAATTGCCTAATGTTATGTTTTGGATAAGCTTGGAGTCCATGTTTAATTAATAAATTATGTTAGGTAATGAGTGCATTGTTCTGATGATTATCATAGCACAATAATATGTTAAGCTCATCACATAAAATTAATTAGGTTATCATTGCATTCACAAAAAGTCAGATTATTAATATTTAAACAAAATAACGTTTTTGCATAGGAACAAAAGGATGTAGTCTATCCTCAATGTCAATCATTTTACAGGTGAAGATCATGTTTCAAAATGTTTTTCTAGTGAATTTTTGATAAATAAGCAAAGGTCTTCTGGTACATTTACACCATGGAATACTATGCAGCAGTAAAAAAGAAATATCACTTACCCTTTTAGACAGCATGGAGAGAACTGGAGAGTATTATGCTAAACAAAATAAGCCAGTCAGAGAAAGACAAATATCACATGATCTTACTCATATATAGAATATAGAGAACAGAATAAACTGATGAATAAAATAGATACAGAAACAAGATCACATGGGACAGACTGTTGAAATTTGGAGAAAAGTTGTTGAGGGTGGATGGTTGTTGAGAAGATAGTAACTAAAAATCTTGTATTTATATATGCACTAGAGGCCTGATGCATGAAAATTTGTGCAAGAATGGGCCTTCCTTCCCCTGGCTGCCAGCACTGCCTTTGCTCTGGCCCAGAGCTGCCTTTCTGCCTTCACATACTGCCTGCATCCTGCCCTGGCTGCTCGGCACCTGAGTATGCAAATTAACTCACCATCTTTGTTGAATTAATTTGCATACCCACTCCTGATTGGCTGGTGGGCTTTATGAAGGTATGGTCAATTTGCATCTTTCTCTTTTATTAATGTAGATAACCCATGGACACAGACAATAGTGTGATAAAGCCCTGGGATGGGAGTGGGTGGGTATGGGCTACAAAAGGGTTAATAGGGAAAAAAGAGGGACATCTATAATACTTTCAACAATAAAGATTAAAAGAAAAAAAGCAAAGACAACACATTCCTAAAAACCCTGTAATAATACCATAATCAAATGTGAGTTATGTAAATAATATATTCTCATTAAATTTTGTTAAATATTACATAAATTAAGAACCATGTAATTGGAGAATAATACCTGTTATACAATAATTATTTCTTTATATGATGACTTTAGTATGTATGAATTCACTTAAAAGACATTACTAAATAACTTTTCTGAAACTTTTTCTAATGTTAGTATTGGGAAATGCTGTTAAAAATATAAGTGATTTATAAAAAAAATTGATTCACATAAATAATATTTCATTATGACTAAGGCTGGAGAAATAACAGTAAAATACCCTGGTTCCCCGAAAATAAGATAGTGTCTTGAACTAATTTTTTCTCCCAAAGATGCGCTAGGTCTTATTTTCAGGGGATGTCTTATTTTTCCATGCGCTAGGTCTTATTTTCGGAGGATGTCTTATTTTCGGGGAAACACGATATATAGAAAAATATTTATATGTCAAAAAATACATGTGAAAGTAGGACATTTTACAAAGAATATTTACAAAGCCTTTTTATAGTGTTAAATATTAAATACTAAGAAAGGTGTTAAAAGAAGATTTGAAAGTTTTTTCTGAATAATTTTATCAAAAGAGAGAATACCCCAAATCTAGAGAAATGGCAGCATGTGACCAAGTGCTAACTCCTTTCCTTCCTTCCTTACCTGCTGACAGTTGACAAAATAGACAAAATATTTGACTTTTAGAAACTTAAATACCTGCTGAAACTAAACAATGGTGACAATCTCCTAAGATAACCAGAAATAAATACAAGGAATTAATTAAATGATGGGCAACTAGAAATTCTCATTTCTAAAATAGCATTATATTAATTAAATGATGGACAACTAGAAATTCTCATTTCTAAAATAGCATCATAATATTGCTTAAAGTAATCCTGGAAAACTTGATTAGAAATTAAAAGGCCTTTGAATGAGAAAGAGCCACCTTCTACCATCCACCATAATAGTTTTGTAAACACGTAGAAGAAAGACAAAGGAGAAAAAAATCCAAATACAGGGGCAATAGAGTTTTGGGAGAACATTTTCTTATAGTTGGGGACCAACCACTGTAGTATTACTCAGGGGTAAAGAATATAAAAGAACATGAAAAACTGGGAACTTCTTTATTTGGAGCTACATTTGCCACTACCATGGTGTAATACAGTAAAATATTGGATGAAGACAGCTGACATGTTGGGGCAATAGAAAAGAAAACACACACACTATTAATTGTTATCACAAAAATTATACTTACATTTATCCCCCATATGCATAACATGATAAACACAGGATGAAGTGAAGTCAGGAGAGTGGCAGTGTAAGGGTGCAACTTTTCCTCTACCTCCAACATTTCAACAAGTTAAACACCTATAACTCAACAAAGAAATCTCTGCGCAGCACAGATGCATGCCAGAGAGACCCATGCAGTGAAATACATAAAGGTGGGAATCTGGGAATAAACAGGGAAACCAGAAAGAAGGAAAGCACAGAAGGCCTGCACATGCAGCCCTGCAGCCTGGAGCTCATGGCTCAGCAGGCCAGGAAAGGGGAGAAAGGTGGAGGTAGCAGGGGCTTCCCTCGGCTAGGGAGGACGAACAAAGAGCAGAGTGAGCTGTGAGCAGTGAGAGAGCAAACAGTGTCTGAGTCTGTAGTCTCCTAACACAGCTCAAGGTTCTGCCATGCAGCTCCCCACTGTTGGGCTGGACAGAGGTGTGTCAGACAGAGAAATAGAGCCACAGAGCCCTGCCATAGTTTGAACTCTGAAGACTCACCTCCTGTTGCCTTTGGAATTGGGTCCAGGAGCATATCATCTGTAATCCAAGAGCTGTTGTAATAGAATTGCTGTTTCCTTCTGTGACTGATCCCCAAGAGGGGTGTTTGGGGTGGGACCCTGCAGAGGTCAGAGGTTACCATTATAGTGAGGGCAAAACAAACCCCTCCACCAAGCAATGTGTCTGTACCGTCCTAAGGAAGCCACAGAAGTTCAAGACTGGGAAACTACAGAGGTAAAAATCTCGTGATTCAGTGCCATCTACTGGAATATAGTGGAAAAACCTCTTCAGAGAGAAATGCGAAAATAAAGGACAGTAAATATCATGAAGAACCTCAGTAACAATGATAACCAGAAAGAAAATGGAAAATCCCCAGAAAGCAGGCTAGATCACATGGAAATATGTGAAATAAATATTTCAAGGCAGATTTCAAGATTGCAGTTCTGAAAATATTCATCAAGATACAAGAAAATACTGATAGTCTATTCAGTGCACCCAGAAAACAAATCTTTGAACAAAATAAGTATTTTACCAAGGAAATTGAAAATTTGAGAAAGAATCAATAAAAAATCCTGGAAATGAAGTTTGCAATTAAGGAGATTTAGAGTGAGCAACTGAGCTTAGAAAATAGAGCCAACCAGTTAGAGGTAAGAACTAGTGATATCAAAGAGGAATTAAGAAATGACACAAAGGGAAGAAGGGAAAGACATGAGGATAAAGAAAAATGAAAGAGCTCTATGAGATCTCTCTGATTCCATCAGAAAAGGTAATATTAAATTTATAGGCATTGTGGAGGAGAAAGAGAGGGAGCATAGAATGGAGTCTATTAAAACAAATAACGGGTGAGAATTTCCTGAATCTATGAAAAGAACTAGTACCTCAAATCCAAGAAGCAAACAGAACATCTAGTTACCTCAATATAAAGATTTTTAAAAATTCCAATATTAGTAATAAAAAGAGGCCCTCTCCAAGGCACTTGTATTGAAGCTGTCAAAAATTAATGACAAAGATTCCCGGCGAGACCGCCTGTGCCGGGCCCGCGCTCCCCGCAGCCGCGGGGCTAGGCTCGGGCTAAAAAATGGCATTTAAGAAGGCAGTAAAAGAGACTATTCTTGCTGGAGGAGGTGCTTTTGCAACAATTCCAGGCCTCTCTCACTTTGCCCATTACAGAAGGAAGCAAATGAGCCTGCCCTATGTTCAAGCAGCCGAGTGCGTCTCAGAACCGGTGAACAAGGATCCTCCTTCCCGAGAAGCTCAGATACTGACTTTGAAAAACACGTCTGAATTCGATGTCCTTGTCATTGGAGGAGGAGCGACAGGGTGTGGCTGTGCACTGGATGCAGTCACCAGAGGACTGAAAACAGCCCTTGCAGAAAGAGGTGATTTCTCATCGGGGACCAGCAGCAGAAGCACTAAATTGATCCACGGTGGTGTGCGATATCTTCAGAAGGCTATGAAGTTCGACGTTGAGCGGAATAGGATGGTGAAAGAAGCCCTTCACGAGCGCGCCAACCTACTAGAAATTGCTTCCCATTTATCAGCTCCACTGCCTATAATGCTTCCAGTTTACAAGTGATGGCAGTTACCTTACTACTGGGTAGGAATCAAACTATATGACCTGGTAGCAGGCAGTAATTGCCTGAAAAGCAGTCACATCCTCAGAGAGCCCTTGAGCATTTCCCCATGCTTCAGAAGGACAGGCTCGTAGGAGCAATCCTCTACTATGATGGACAACACAACGACGCCCGGATGAACCTTGCCATTGCTCTCACCCATGCCAGGTACGGTGCTGCCACAGCCAATTAAATTACATGGAGGTCCTGAGCTTGCTGAAGAAGACAGACCCCAAAACAGGGAAGGAGCGCCTGAGCGGCGCGCGGTGCAGGGACGTGCTCACAGGACAGGAATTTGATGTGAGAGCCAAATGCGTTATCAATGGCACGGGACCTTTTACAGATGCTGTGCGCCAAATGGATGATAAGGAGGCCGCAACTATCTGCCAGCCGACTGCGGGCGTCCACATTGTGATGTCTGGTTATTACAGCCCAGAGAGCATGGGACTTCTTGACCCAGCGACCAGTGATGGACGAGTTATTTTCTTCCTGCCATGGCAAAAGGTGACTATAGCTGGCACTACTGACACTCCAACCGATATTACTCACCATCCTATTCCTTCGGAAGAAGACATCAACTTCATTCTGAACGAAGTGCGTAACTACCTGAGTCATGACGTTGAAGTGAGGAGAGGGGATGTCGTGGCAGCGTGGAGCGGTATTCGTCCCCTTGTGACAGATCCTAAGTCTGCAAGCACTCAGTCCATCTCCCGCAATTATGTTGTGGGTATCAGCGAGAGCGGCCTCATCACAATAACAGGGGAAAGTGGACAACCTATCGCTCTAGGGCAGAGGATACCATAAATGCTGCTGTCGAGGCTCATAATTTGAAAGCAAGTCCAAGTAGAATAGTTGGGCTTTTTCTTCAAGGGAGCAGAGACAGGAGCCCCACACTCTCCATCAGACTTGTACAGGACTATGGACTGTTGATGTTCAGCGTGCATTAGAGAGTATCAATATCCAAATGGATGAAAACACACTACATGAAATTCTGAATGAAGTAGATTTGAACAAAAATGGACAAGTTGAACTCAATGATTTTTTGCAGCTGATGAGTGCTATTCAGGAAGGAAGGGTGTCTGGAAGCCGGCTGCTGATCCTGCTGAAAACAGCAGAGGAGAACCTGGAAAGAAGGGTCCCCATTCCGGTGGATAGAAGTTGTGGAGGATTGTGAGTGTGAGCGGTGACTCCTCGGCCAACACACACAGGAACAACAGATCATCGTGTAACAACAGTTATGAAATACAACATTCCAAAAAAGTGGATATTGGATAGCTGCTTAAAAAACAAAAAACAAAAAACAAAAAACAAAAAAACAAAAACAAAACAAAACAAAACAAAAAAAAAACACTGGGAAACATTCCAAGGCTTTAGGATGTTGCTGTAAACCCCGTCTTTGTATTTGCCACTCACTCTAGCTTCCAAAACGTGTATTTTATCCCCTTTCATCATTTTTGATGCACCCTGCCTTAATGTTTTGTACCCATTTTGTGACCGATTAGACTGGACATGCTCTCTTTTTGTGTATGTGTTCATTTATTCTAATTCAACTCTAGAGGCAGAAAGCTTTGGCTGAGACCGAAAACAAAGACGCTGGAATTTTGTAACATGCACAAAGCTTGAGGTTAAAGCTTGTAGGTCGTATTGATTCTTTTTTTTTTTATAATATATTTTATAGATTTAAAAAAATAATGACAAAGAAAAAATTCTCAAAGCAATCAGGGAAAAGAAGGAAATTCCATCATCCAACATCTCAGCAGGAACTCCATAAGCCAGAAGAGAGTGGAAACAAATATTCAAACATCCAAGAGAGGAATTACTAGCTACAAATAATATATCCAGCAAAATTATCTATTAAATATGAAAGTGTAATAAAGACATTTTCAGACATAAAGAAATTGAGGGATTTTATTGCCAGAAAACCTCCCTTGCAGGAAATACTCAAGGGACTTATTCTGTCTTTAACAAAGAACATAAGGTCACAACATTATGAGTAAGATCACTAAAAACTTATAGCATAAATGGGGATAATTTGTAACAACAAAAACATAAAAGGGGAAAGCAGAAAGGTCTGAACTGGCAAAAAAAAAGGTGAAGATCAGATGAACTAAAAAGGGGAAAAAAATAATGGTATATGCAACTTCATTTTTTATTCACTTAATGGTAACCACACACAAAAATCTCTAAACCAGGACATTTAGTTTAAACAAAAAGAGGAAACAGAGGAGAGATGTATGGAATATCACCAAACAAAAATAGCAGACAGAAACATAAAGGAAAATGGAGGTACAGAGCTATCAGAAAACAAAAGATAAAATGGCTATAGGGAATCCTCAAACACCAATAATTACCCTAAATTTAAATGTTCTGAATTCACCAATAAAGAGGCACAGAGTAGCAGAGTAGTTCAAAAAACAAAAGCCAATCATCTTCTGCCTACACCAGACACATCTAAGCTGCAAAGACAAAGTTATATTCAAAGTGAAAGGTTGGAAAATGATTCTCTAAGGAAACAAAATCCACAAAAAAGCAGGTATAGCCATACTTATGTCTGACAAAATAGATATCAAGATAGCAACAATAACAAGAGATGAATATGGACACTTTATAATGATAAAGGGAAAATTACATCAAGGACATATAACACTTCTTAATATATATGCACCCAGTCATGGAGCACCAAATATATAAAACAACTACTCACAGAACAAAAAGGAGAAACAGATCAAAACACAATCATAGTTGGGGACCTTAATACCCCATTGACAGCTCTTGGCAGATCAACCAAACAGAAAATCAATAAATTAATATCAGCCTTAAATGACACACTAGACCAAATGGACTTAATTGACATTGCAGAACCTTTCATCCCAGAACATCTGATTATACATTCTTCTCCAGTGCACATAGAACATTCTCAAGGATAGACTAAATGTTGGGTCACAAAACTAGCATCAGCAAATTCAAGAAAATTGAAATTATATCAAGCATATTCTCTAAGCATGATGTCTTCTAATTAGAAATCAATTGCGAAAATGAAATAAAGGAAACCACAAATACATGGAGATTAAATACTACTAAAAACGTTTGGATCAAAGAAGAGATAAAATATGAGATCAAAAGATAAATAGAGACAAGTGAACATGATAGTACAACATACCAAAACCTCTGGGATGCAGTGGAAATAGTAATAAGAGGGAACTCTATATCATTACAGGCCTATCTCAAGAAACAAGAGAAATCCCAAGTAAACAACATAACACCACATCTTAACGTACTAGAAAAAGAACAAAAGCAACCCAAAGACAACAGAAGAAAGGAAATAATAAAATAAGAGCAGAATTAATTGAAATAAAGAACAAAAAGAATATTAAAAAAATCAATAAAACAAGGAGCTGGTTCTTTGAACAGATTAATAAAACTAACAAGACCCTGGCTAGACCCACTAAGGAAAAAAGGGAAGAGACCTACATAAAAAAAATCAGAAATGAGAGAGAAGTCATCACAGACATCACAGATATACAAAGAATCATACTAGAATATTATGAAAGAGTACATGCCACCAAATTCAATAACCTAGAAGAAATGGATACGTTTCTAGAAAAACATAATCTTCCTAGACTAAATAATAAAGAATTGGATTATCAAAAAAGACAAATCAGCAGTGAAGAAATTGAACAACCATAAAAAACCTGCCAAAAAAAAAAAAAAAAAAAAATCCATGACCAGATGGGTCCACCAGTGAATTCTACCAAATGTTAAAAGAAGATTTAAAACCTATCCTTCTCAAATTCTTTCAAAAAATTGAAGAGGCAATACTTCCTAACATATTCTATGAGGACAATATAACCCTGATACCAAAACCTGGCAAAGGTAACACAAAAAAAGAAAACTACAGACCAATATCTCTGAATACAGATCCAAAAATCCTAAACAAAATACTAGCAAATCAAATACAACCAGACCATACAAAAATTATAAATGATAATAATGATCAAGTTGGGTCCATTCCAGGGCACAGCATATACAAATCAAGCCTTTTAACACATCACATTAACAACTAAAAAACACAGATAGAAATAATGAGATCTTTTTAATCGATGCAGAGTGAGCAGTTGATAACATACTCATTTATAATTAAAATAATAAAATAGGAAAAGAAGGAAAATATCTCAACATAATAAAGGCCATATATGATAAACCCTTAGATAATATCACACTCAATGGCGAAAAAGAGAAAGCGTTTCCTTTCATATCAGAAACAAGACAAGAATGTTTACTCTCACCACTCTTATTTAACACTAGGGCCTTGATGCACAAAATTCATGCTCTGAGGAGGGGCCCCTCAGCCCAACCTGCCCCTTCTCATATACTGGGAGTCCTCAGGGGATGTCCTACATAAGCCAGAGTCTGGCCTCCCTTTGTGAGAGGCGACCGGGCTGATCAGGGCAAGGCACCAGCCCCATCACACCGCTGCTGCTGCGACTGCCAGTCACCACAGCCACCAAGGTGTTTTCATCAACATGGACTCCAGTCCCTTCACCATGAAAAAATGACAACTTTCTTTAAGCATTTTCAAGATGTCTTTCATAAGATATGACATTTTTTTCTTTTTATCCTCAGCTGAGGATATGTTTCTATTGATTTTTTTCCCCTTCCCTCCGATCCCAGGATTGGCCCCATCCCAGGCCTAAAGCCTCTGCCCGATGGCCAGCTCGGAGTTCAAAGGGTGGTAGGAGCTTTATGCTGCTTTGATTCTCTTTCTCTCTCTCTCTTTCTCTGTCTCTCTGTTGGGGAAGGGCATATAACATATCTACAGTGGTTTGGAAGTTTAGATAACTTAGTAGAAAAGTATTAGACTGTAGAATTGTGTTGACTTAATTCTTTTGATCTTGCTAAAGGAGGAAAACATTACTGAGAATTAGAGATATTGGAGGATCATGCAGACCACTGTGAAAATTCTTCCTTTTGCTTTGAGTGACATGGAGAGTCACTGAATGGTTTTGAACAATAAAGTAAGATGATTTAGCCCTAGCCAGTTTGGCTCAGTGGATAGAGTGTTGGCCTGCAGACCAAATGGTCCCAGGCTTGATTCCAGTTAAGGATAGATATCTCACCTTCCTTCCCCCACCTGCCCTGGCCTGGGCCCTGGTCCAGGCATGTGCAGGAAGCAACCAATCAATGTATTTTTCTCACATTGTTATTTCTCTCTGTCTTTCCCTCTCTCTTTCACTCTCTTGAAAAAAAATTAATGGAAAAAATATCTTTGGATGATGATTAAAAAATTAAATAAATAAAATGAGATGATTTAAATAAAAATATAAAGGCTCACTCTGGTTTTAGAGTAGAGAATGGACATCAGAAATGCAAAGAAAGTCCAGTTAGGAATCTACACTAACAAAAGAGAAACATGAAAATTAACCATCACTCTGCTATGCCCACAAACCACTCTCACCAGCCAATCAGGAGGGAGTATTCAAATTAACCTAATCAAGATGGCTTCCAGCCATGGAGCTGGAGAGAGCAGGAGGCTTAGGTTGCCCCCGGCGATGGAGGAAGCCAAGCTTCCTATCTGCCCTGGCCGGCTCTGGCCTCCTCTAAAGGTTACAAAGTTTCAATTATAGAAGATAAATGAATTCTAGATACTTGCTTCAGCTGGCCCTGGCCTTTGCTCAAGGAGGTGCTGAAAAAAATAAAAATAAATAAAAATAAAAAAAGGAGGGGCTGGGACCTTGGGTCTCCAGTGAGTGACCAGGCCAAAATGGACCAGCAGAGGCTGTTAGGGATAAGCAGACCAGCACGGGGCCAGTTGGGGGTGAGCAGGCTGTCAGTGGGGATCAGCTGGAGGTGATCAGGACAGTGTGTGTGTGGAGGGGTGGAGTTTGGAGTAAGCAGGCCAGCAGGGGGGGCAGTTGGAGATGAGCAGGCTGGCATGGGGCATTTGGGAGTGATCAGGTTGTCAGAGGGGCATTTGAGGGTGAGCAGGCCAGCAGCGGGGGGCAATTGGGGGTAAGCAGGCTGGCAGGCAGAGTGGTTAGGGGCAATCAGGCAGGCAGGTGAGTGGCTGGAGCCAGCAGTCTCGGATTGTGAGAGGGATGTCTGACTGCTGGTTTAGGCCTGATCCCTGTAAACCGGCAGTTGGACCACATCTTCAAGTGGTCCCAGATTGGAGAG